AACAGGGTACTTTGGATGATCTATTCCATCTACAGAAGTCGAGACAGCACAAGGCTTTAGTGAGGATACTGGCTCTTGGAGATGAGCTCAGCAAGTCCACTATATCACATCTACTACTACCATTAGCACGATATCATATTACCAACAGCCCTGATGACCATAACCTTGTAGATGTATCAACTGGTATCATGAAGCTAGCAGCAAAGGACCTTAGCTGGACCAGGGTCATCGGCATATTCCGATGGCTAGGAGGTCAGCTGAAACCGGGTGGTGTGAGCCGTAAGGGGTTGAGGAATCGTGGTATTGGTAGACATGGTGTGAGCCCTGAGCAGATGGAGAAGGCCCTTTTGAAGGGAGTATCAGCTGCCGTACAAGGGATATCCCAGCGAGATGATCTGTCGGAGAAGATCGGCAACCTCAAGTCCACAGTACTACCAATGCTTAGGCGTTTAGTGTATACCAAACAGAAGGTTGAGGATGAAGCCGGAGCCGTTGGTAATGAGAAGCAAGCACATCATGGTCGTGGGGGGCAGCAGGATGTTTTTGTTACCATCCGTGTGAGCATGGTATCAGCTATGTTAGAGGTCCTTAGTCTGATGGATGCTGACGTATTCGGAAGTGAGTTTAACAAGCTCACTGGTGTTGTGGTTGGAGGCTTACTCTCAAGGGAGTTGGAGGATAGGAGGAAGGCTCGGGATGCCCTATCTCGCATGGCAGCAGCTGCTACCAGTCTTAAGCAGATTACCTTCATGCTTAGGACGATCCGTACAAGAATGTCCCGAGGTGGTTATCAGACTCCTGTTGCTGTATTCACGGCCAGTAAGATAATAGATTCGGCTACATTGAAGGATGAGGAGGGTGTAGAAGCCTTCTTGAAGGAGGTTATGGGCATGTATGGTATGGAGGAAGCTAGATGGTTGTCAATGCAAGGTAGGGCTGAGTCTACTCAAGGGACTGAGGAGAACCCTATGTTGGCAAAACAAGTCTCGGAAGCAGCTAGACCAAAGGCCAATGCCATTCTTGAGGCTGTAGGCAAAGCTATGCCCATCGAGAAGGTATTGGATGGCCTTATGAAACCTCTCTATGGTCGCCTTATCGGTACCGAGCTGGATGATGTCCGAGAGGGAGCATGGTCTAGCCAACACGCTGGTGGTGTTGGTGGGGCTAGGTTTGCCCGTCGAGTTCGGACCTCTATGTTGCAACTAACTACTGGTATCCTAGCCTCTCACTCTCCTATACAGCAATGTCAGCGTATACTCACACGTGCAGTTAGTGTGCTAGAGGATAAGTGTAGCTTCGAGGAGGTAGATCTCTTCTCCGCTAATGCTGCTATCATAGACCCTGCTACCTCTGGAGAAGGGGTTAGCAAGGGTACTAGGAAAAGCAGGAAAGAGGAGGCTGTCACTGTCCTACCGGGTGCAGCCACTGGACGGGGTGCCTGGGTAGCTGAGGAATGGAAGAAGGGCAGTGGTGCATCCACACGACGTTATGATAATACTATACGGGGGAGTGCAGCAGCTGAAGTGGGTCTCAAGCTTTTAGAAGGTCTCTTAAAGAAGGGTAGTTCCTCAACAGCTAGCTTGCTGAGTGATGAGGAGACCCTAAGGGGTATACTATCACCAATAGCCTACTTCATAACCGTTAGCAAGGTGGATGATGTCTTTGTACCAGCGGCTAGATCCCTGAGTCGTCTCATATCCAGCATGAAGTACACCTCTGTAAAGGGCGGGCCTCTTGCATCATCATCATCATCATCATCTAGCACTAGTGGTAACAACCCTCTACTAGACGTTCTCAGTGCTAAGGAGACGTTGGGCATCGTGAGGAGTGTGTTGAAGATGGTGCAGTTCTATAGTGCTGGTGCCTCCCTCTCTAAGGATCTAACTGTAGTCCAAGCCACACGGCAACAGTCTACTCATAGTAGTGCAGCATCATCGATAGTAGCTACCTGTACGAAATTGTTATGCAGCCTCCTTACTGGTACTGTTGGTATTATCAAATGTAA